AAATTTAGCATTAAGAGAACACAAATTTAGAAATAATTACACAACAAAATTAAAAGCTGAAAAAAGAAGCAGCTGGGAAGATGACTCAGTGGTTAAGAACACTGGCTGCTCTTGCAGAGAACCAGAGTTCAATTCCCAGCACCCACATGGTGGCTAACAAGTGTCCCAAACTCCAGTTCCAGGGGATCTGATGCCCTCTTCTGACCATGGCTCACACTACATGACACAGGTACACTTACATACATGCAAGCAAAGCACACGTATACATAAAATAAAAATAAAATATTAAAGAAAAAAGCTGAAAACAATGACTACAAAAAAATGAGTAAAATCAATTCCTAAATTTGTTCCATTGAGCAAGATGGCCCCAGTGATGTGCCTGTGTGTTACCTTCTGTACCAGTAAAGATGCCCTCTGCTCCAGTAATGAATGAACACAACCGGGTGCATGCAAAGGCCAACTTAGTGGAGATCATGACAGGAGGAAAAAAAAAAAAAAAAAAAAAAAAAAAAAAAAGGGAAAATCTTTTGTTCCCAGTAGGACATCTTTAAAAGGTACTAAATCTGATGTGTCTTTTCCTTCCTCTCAACAATAGAGTAGAATTTGCCTCCAGTAGACTCTGCATGAGCTTCCTTCAGACTACATCATCTAACTGCAATGCCCCAGAACTGAGGGTAGGGTACTTTCAGGTTCTATAACCCAGATTCAGAGATGTACTTCTGGCAAGGCATGGTGGCACACACCAGGAATCTTAGCACCTGGAGGCGGAGACAGGAGAGTAGGAGTTTGAGCCGAAGTTAACATAATATGGCCATGCCTCAAAACAACACAATATAGCCCAACTTATAAGGCAGCCTGTTTAGAAATCAGCATAATTTTTCTCCAAAGAAACATTTCTATTTCAGCCACATTTCGGGTACCCTATGAACTAAAGTAGCTGCGGCATGGTATTTGGAGAATTTAACATTAAGTTATATAACTTTTCCCCTACAGAAAAAAAAATTAATTTCAAAATTTGCCATCTTTTGGGATTGTCTATAACCGCCTGCATAATAAAATTATTGAGCAAAAATGCAAAGACTTACAAAGGGGAAAAATATCCAACTTAACTGACCATAGACATTCTAGCATTTACTCAATCAACTAGAGACAGCAATCATTAAACGCTATAAATTTTTTGGAATTAGCTAATTATCAAGTTAATGCTTATGCCAACTGGAATCAACATGAACTACATTCATGAAAGATGACAGTTCAAAGCAGTTTAATACAGACAGGCTGGTGGGACAGGCTGTCTGTATTAATCCTTGTAATCCCAGCTACTTAAGAGCCTGAGGAAGAAGGACAAGTTAAAGGCCTGCCTCAGATACAGAGTGAGTTCAAGACCAGTCTGGGCAACTTAGTATGAAATGTCCAAATAAAAAGTAAAAAGAGGGCTGCTCAGTGGTAGGGAGCATGCCTAGCTTGTGGGAGGCCTGAGGTTCTACTGCCAGCACTGAAACAACAAAGACAGAACTCAGAGTTCAAGCTCTTGTAACTGCTGAAACCTTAAAGTATAATATTATACATTAAGAAGTAGACATAGACTCTTTAATTAATTTTATTTATTTTTATTTTATGTGTATGAGTGTTTTGCATGCATGTATAAGTGCATCAGTGTTCTGCAATGCCCAAGGAGGGCAGAAAAGGGCATCGTGGGATTCCTCTGGAACTGGAGATACTGAGGGTTGTTAGCCGCCAGGTTGGTGCTGGGAATCTAACCTGGGTCGTCTGGAAGAGCAGCAAGTGCTCTTAATCCCTCAGCCAGGGATTAACTCCAGTCCTATGAACTCCTATAATTGATAATTAAGAAATTTAAGCTGTGGGCATAGTAGCACATGCCTTTGGTCCCAGCACTCAGGAGGCAGAGGCAGGCAGATCTCCATGAGTTCAAGGCCAGCCTGGTCTACACAGCAAGTTCAGGCCAGCTGGGGCTACAAGGAGACCCTGTCTCAAAAAGACCAAAAAAAAAAAAGTTTAAACATTACAAACTATTACTGCACAAAGTATAAATATTAGTTACTGAACACATGGATTATCTTGAATCCAGTGAAGTAATAGGGGTATTAAGTTGGGTGTGGACATTTTAAGACACTATAAATCCAGAAGCAAAATATGCTTCAAATATGAAGGTCATAAACCAAATGCACCTTCAAAATAAAAATAAACATCTAGAGGCAGTACTCTTATTACTGCCCAGTCTGCTGCCCCTTGCACTGTACTAAATAAACCCATTTTCTTTCTAAAATTAAATTTAAACTAATACAGTAAGACCAGAAAGCTTAAAGGAGTAAAGAGTATTTGCATCTATGTGCCAGATGTTTTAAACTCATTTAATATTCACAAACACAAGATAGACATTTCTATTTTTCTCTCTCCTTACAAAGGAACTCAAGCTGAAAATTACTTCTCTAGGACTAGAAAAACACCACCAGAGTCAGGCCTTGACCTTCCTGTCTGTTTTGGCTCTGAAGTCCTTGCTCCCTCCCTCACCATGCTATTAGTATTTTAAGTCATTTGGAGCTGGAGAGATGGCTCAGAGTTTAAGAACACTGGCTGTTCTTGCGGAAGACCTGGGTTCGAATCCCAGCACCCACATGGAAGCTAACAATTGTCCGTAACTCCAGTTCCAGGGGATCCAACAGCTTTTTCTGCCCTCCGCAGGCACTGCACAACACGGGTGTACTTACCTACATGCAGGCAATACTCACATACACATAAAATAAAAATAATAAATATTTTTAAAAGAAAGAGCATCGAAACTTTAAACTATAATGCCTTCAACAAGAATGGACAGGGATGGATTCCTCTCTAAAATTTCCCAGAAGACTTCATGAGGGAACATGTTCCAGACCGACGCACGCCAGAGAGAGACTCTGTTGTGTCATCTGACTTATCCAGGATAATCTCTGTTACAGAGAGAAAGCTCTTAACAGCGTTCAACATTATTCAGCCACAAAGAAAAAGAGCACTTTCAGGTCTCGTCTGACCCGCTAGGGCTTAAGATTTCCAACACCTAAATTCCCAGCACAGTGGCCTTGGAGGAACTATATCTTGTTTTCAATCTATTGACCTACCTCATGGAAGAATCATACTTCCCTTGTGTTAGATGCGTGAGTCTACACTATTACTAAAGATCTGAAAGGACTTTGTACCATCAAATTTGTCTAACAAGATGTTTATATATCATGTATGATTCCCTGGTACCCATGCTCAAAGTTAATACAACCCATTCATACCATAGCATGATTAAGGTATGCAGTTATATATGACATTATATGTGTCATTATAAAGTTTGCCACATAAACTCTGCGGGGAAAAGGAAATCTAGGTCATCGGGCAAATTTCCCCGCTTTTTTCTCAAAAAAAAAAAAAAAAAAAAAAAAAAAAAAAAAAAAGTGAAAACCAAAATGAATCCCAGCACTCAGGAGGCAGAGGCAGGTAGAGTTCAAGTCAGGCCTGGTCTACATAGAGTTCCAGACTTAAAGAGAGAGAGAGAGAGAGAGAGAGAGAGAGAGAGAGAGAGAGAGAAGGAAAACCAATAAAAATGAGAAAAATACATTTTTGGGTTTTCTAAAAATAATCAGTAACTATAAATACAGCTGTAAAACACATAACAACTTTTAGGACAGTCCCCCCTGCCCCGCCCCCGGGGTATTTTTTAGAAAATAAAATATAAGACATGAGTTGAATCCATGATCATGGAAAAAAAAACCCAACGCAAATATAGGACCTATCTTAGATAAGGGGACACTTTTCAATTTTTTCAATTTTTGGTGAAAAACTTTTATCAATCACCTTCATAGTGATTGTTGGGTGTTTTACCCTACCACCGGTAGCCTCTTAATTCTAGTTGTCTTGCTTTCCTCCCAAGCATTCCCTACACTGTTCATTAAGCCTTCCTCACAGTATTACTGCTGCTAACTTCCTTGGGACTAGAAAAACAACAGCAGAGTGAGGGTGTGAACCCAAACCTGCTTGAGTCTTTCCCTCTTCTTTCCCTGTTTCTGCCATTCTTTTATTTTTATTTTTATTTTATGTGTATGAGTGTATTGCCTGCATGAGCCTTGGCCTCAACTATTAAGAGAATCAAACTGGTAAACTTATGCCTTAAGACAAAAATTTTCTATTTTTTTCTACTCTTTGTGTGAGGGAGCGCCACAAATTGGAAGTCAGGGGCCAGCTTGTGGGTGTGTGTTCTCTCCTTCCAACCAAGTCCTGGAGATCTAGCTCGGATTGTGTCAAGCTTGGCGGCAAGCGCCTTTACCTGTTCAATCATCTCGCTGGCCCTAAAGCAAAAAACTTTTTAATGAACAGGATTTTAGAGCTGGGTGATGCAGTACATTCTCGGTCAAAGTGGGCACAGAGCTCCCTATTTCTTTTAAGATGTGACAACTGAGGTTGGAGAGAGGGAGTGACTCCTCCAAGAGTTGGCAAGTAGGGGCAAAGGTTGAAGCCGGAGCTCGGAACAGCGCTCTCCGGTGCTTTAACCGCAGGATCCGGGTCGGGTTCCCGGGCGGGAGCGTCCAGCCAGTCCAACGCAGCCGGACTAGGGCGTTCTCAAGGCTGTGAGCCGAGAACTGAGCCGAAGGGCGCAGATACCAGACCCCGTCCCCCTCCTAGGGAGACGCTTCGTCCCCGCGCTCCGCCACAAGGCCAGGACAGCCGCCCTTGCCGCGGGGCTCCCAGCCCAGGCTCCGGCCACAGCGGTCGGGGAGCGTACCGAAAGAGGGCGCGGGAACAAAGCAGCCCCGCGACCTCAGGCTCCGCGCTCTCCGCCCGGGTGCGCGGTGGCCGCCGGGACACGTAGTCCCAGGTGGAGGCTGGGGGCGCGGCAGCCAACGCGGCAACTCCCGGGGCCTGGCAACACGGCTGCTTCCGCAGCCCTCGGCAGCGTCCCTTCCTGCGCCCGGCCCGCAGCCCCCCCGCAGCCCCCACTGCCCCCCGCGGCCCGGCCTCACCTCGACGATGCGCGCGCACTGGGTGCCCTTGCCGGCTCCAGGGCCGCCCAGAACGAAAACGACCAGCGGTTTCATGAGGCGGCGATTGCAGAGCAGCGGCAGCCCCCGGCTCGGCGGCGGGAAGCTTAGGCCCAGAACAAGGAGCAGCCGGTGGCGACAGCGGCTCAGCATACACCGCGGCTCTGACAGCGGCCGGCGGGCGGGGCGGGGCCGCAAGGAAGGGGCGGGCTGAGCGGCCGCAGGGCCAAGCCGTCTGCCGCGGAGCCGCCACGGCCGGAAGGGGTGGGGCCTCCTTGCGGTGCTACATTCCCGGGGCCTTTCAGTGCCAGGGTTGGATTGATGTTTGGTAAAACCGGTAGTTCTCGCCCCAGGAGTTTGAGTTCCAATGCCAGGCGGCTGAACTGAATACGTAGCACAAGAGTCAATAAGTATCATGGTACTGCTTTAGCGTTTTTGTTGTATTTTTTTCCAGACGGGGTCACACCATGTAGCCCCAGCTGGTCAGGAACTCTTTGTAGGCCGGGGTGGCCTTGATCGCAGAGATTCGCCCTCCTCTGTCTCCGTAAAGGTGTGTGTTACCACGCTTGGCCAACGCTACTGTGGTATTTGTTTTCTTTGGGGATTTTGTTTCGGTCTTCTTGTAGTCCAGCTGGCCAGCAACTCGCTAAGTAAAGCAAGCTGGCCTAGAGATCCGCCAGCCTCTGCCTCCCTACTGCTGGGATGAAAGGCCTGTGCCATCAAGCCCACTCAACACTACGGTTGTGAAAGAAACCAACGAAAGTTAAACAAGAACAGTCTGGTTAAGATAGAGAAGGCCTCTGGAGAGGTAGTATTTGAGCCAAGGCTTGAGGCCTGGAAAGAGCAAAGCCAGCAATACGTATGGAGTGCCCCCCAAAGAGAGGAACACGTGAGGAGGACAGGGCTGGGTGATAGAAGGGAATGGAAAATGAAGAAGTAACAGTTAAACTGGTTATGGGAAAGAATTTGAGTACATTCTGATCACAGCACAAAGCCCTTAAGCATAACTCTTATTACCCTGCTGGCTTTATCCCAGAAAATCCTAACCGAGTCCAGGAACCGAGCCTGGGTGAACACAAACCTTTAAAAGTTGAAGACAGCAGTGGTAACAGTTTAATGAGGTTTTTATAGTAACAGAACAAAGAGGTTAGAAATCAAGGCATTTGAATAATTTTTTTTTTTTCTCTTTTTGAAGCAGGATCTCCCTGTAGCCCCAGCTGTCCTGGAAGTCACTATGTAGACCAGGCTGGCTTTGAACTCACAGAGATCCACCTGCCTCTGCCTCCCAAGTGCTGGGACTACAGGCGTGGATTACCACACTGGGCTTGAATACGTTTTTTTTTAAATGGTGTTTGGAGGGGTGGAGAGATGGCTCAGAGGTTAAGAACACTGGTTGTTCTTGCAGAAGACCCGGGTTCGAATCACAGCACCCACATGGCAGCTAACTGTCCATAACTACAGTCCCAGGGGATCTGACAGCCTCTTCTGAGCTCCGAGGGCATTGTATGACACGGGTGTGTTTACTTACATGCAGGCAGACAATACATGCATACACATAAAGTAAAAAAATAAAGTGTTTGTGTTACAGCAAAGCCAGTAAGCTATCAGCCCCAATGCTCTGTAGGGGTTTGTATATTACCAAACAATTTACCTAATTGTCACAAGGATCTTAGGTCACACTCACAGGTGGGCAATAAATGACTATTGAGGAGCTAAGATAATTTGGCACTGGACCTGGGGCTTAAAGAAAAAGTTCCCTTATAATAGTAGTTACAAGAAAGGAACAGTTGAGAGGGAGGTTTGAAGGTTGATGAGAGCTAGAAGATAACAGGGTCCTATCATTTTTTTTCAGTATGAAAAGGAAATGTCCATCTGGTAAGATTGCTCAGCAGGTAAGGGTACTTGCTGGAGTTTGATTCCTGGAACCCACATAAGGGTGAAAGGAGAGAACTGAGCCCTGAAAATTGTCCTCTGACCTCCACATGTATGATTATTCCTGCACTCACAAGAAGAGGGAGGGCAAGCAATATGAGCTGGGGGTAAGAAGAAGGCAAATAGAAATAAGATGTTCAGGGCTGGGCGTGGTGCATGCCTTCAATCCCAGCACTGGGGAGGCAGAGGCAGGCAGATCTCTGTGAGTTCAAGGCCAGCCTGGTCTACATAGTGAGCTCCAGGACAGCTGGGGCCACAGGGAGACCCTGTCTCAAAAAGACCAAAAAAAAAAGAAAGAAAAATAAGATGTTCCACAACTGGTCATACCCAGAGAATATATGTCTGAAAGATGCCCACCTCTATGTAGCACATCTACAGTGGAACCTCTACACCTGGGGCTCATGAAACACAGTGGAACAAGGTGGAGAGAACACTGGTACATCCCTTGGCTTTCATCAGTGAAGCTTCTTCATGCAACAGAGAATGATGCACACAGAAGGCCACAACTGGCTATGTTTTAGAGAGTAAAAGACTGCAAAATGTGTGTCCTTGGATAGGACTACTGTATTGAACCTCACCCACCCACAGCACAGGGACAATTACAGAAGAGGGAGTGGAAAGATTGTCCATAGTTGGACAATGAACATTGCCAGGGTTTGTCCATGAACATGGGGACCAGGCTTTCAGGCCACTGGAAGCTCACTCATGTGAACCTGTAGCAATGGTGGTGTCTAGCACAAGACCCATGCCAACTCAGATAAGAGCCCAGAGTGGAGCGAGGGAAATGGGCAGTGGGCGGGCCCTGGCCTGGGAACTGTTGGAGACTGATTGCTGCTGGGTGAAGGAAAGTAGACCTTAAGATCTCTAGGTGGGGTAAATAGTCTCCAGAGTGTGTGCTTGCACCAAGGGACCTCTGGGTAAAATGCTTGACTAGATGGGACTTGACATGTATGGCAGAATGCATGGGGCCCAGTGGGAGGATGGGGGTGGTGGAGAGGGTCTAAATTTGATTAAGAACTGTTGTATGAAATGTACAAAAGCTCAATAAAAAATGTGAAAAATAAGATTGAGGAAAGAAGTTATGAAATATCTATAGAGTGGAAAAGTTGCTTTTCTAAATCTAAATCAGTTGAGCTGCTGGATAATTAATGTTAAGGCTCATTTAGGACCTGAGACCATGGATTTCAAATAACAGGATTTTGTTCAGGTATAGGCAGAGAAGGCAGATTGTTAAGCTCTTTCAGGGTTGGGTTTTCCTGGGGGTCGAGAATTGAGGGTGTTTTAAATGATATAAGTTTAATCAAAACCATACAGGAAGCTAGGCATGGTGGCACACTCCTTTAATCCCAGTACTCAGGAGGCAGAGGCAGGTGGAGGCCAGCCTGGTCTACATGGTGAGTTCCAGGCCAGCTAGTGTTACAGGGAGACCCTGTCTCAAAAACAAACAACAACAAAACAGGAAAGCAGATGATGCCGTTTGCAGGATGCTAGTGGAAGGTAGAGGCGGGTGGCTCTGGTGAGATAGCAATACACATGCTGGTGGATTATATGGGATCTTGGGAAATGAAATTTCAGAGATTGTGAGTTCGCATGATGCCCGTACGAGATGGGATCGTGTGGAATAAGACTAGACTAAAAGAATGGACGCCTGCGTGCCCTGTTGTTGGAGCTGAGTGGCCGGTGTGTAAGATTCATCTTCCAGGTGCCATGGTGATAAAGAGAGACTATGAGAAAGAAACTAAGCTATTGAGAATAGACTGGCGAGAGGTTTAAATAATAGCTAACAGAAAAGGAAGATGGCAGTTTAGCCCTCTGACCATCTTTATCTCACTTCCACTCTAGCCTCCTTTTGATCTTCTGCTATCATCTCCTCCCTGCCTGTTCTGTGTTTTGTCTTGTTTTTCCTAACTTATTCCCACCTGGAACTTCCTCCAATTCTCCCCATCTACTTCTCTTTTCCTGTCATTTCATCCTCTTTGACTTTTGGAAGAGAGGTGGGATATGACCTTTATTGAACTTATCCACAATCCTGGAAATAATGTTTGTACAAACCAAATGTTTGCTGCTATAACTTCTGCATCACAGTTAAAATCCAAACAGTTTTTTAAAACGGTCAACTTCCAAACTTACCACAAAAATACCTTCTTCGAAGACACTGTAACACTTAAAATTGGTGAAGAGTCAAATGTAGGAATTTGGTTGGTTGGCAAACTAAGCTTCCAACTTTCTCGAAAAGAATAACAAATAGGCAAAATTTGTAGGTTTTTAAATTTTTATCTTTATTTGCTTATTTTTATTTTGTGTGGATGACTTTTGCCTGCATGTATGTAAGCATACTACATGTGTGCAATGCCCAAGGAAGCTAGAAAAGGACATTGGACCCCCTGGACTGGAATTAGAAAATGGTTGTTGTCCACCATGCATTTGCTGAGAACTGAACTCGGGTCCTCTGCAATAGTAGCCCGTACTCTCAACCACTGAGCCATTTCTCCAGCCACCAAATTTGTGGGTTCTGCAGAGATGTAGTCCATTGGAGTCACCAGCATTAGACTTGAGATAATAAGGAATCCAGGTGTCCTCTAGGCAAACGGTCTTCTGTCTGTTGTCCTTCCCATATTTTCCCTTCTTTGCCTCTCTCTCTTCAGTTCCTGCTTCCTTATGCCTACCTTTTCCTTCCAGCAAGGAAAGAGGAAGGGAATATTTCCAATAATTGCAACAGAAGAAATATAATAAATAATAATATTATATTAGGTAAACTTATTTTGCAGATGAAACCTGAAGTCAGAGGCTGAGGCAGGAGGATGATGAGTTTGAGACTAGCCAGGGCTACATAGGAAGACCCTATCTCAAAAACAAAGAAGAAGTGGTAACAGCATGCACAAGACTCATCCAAGCTCAAACCAGACTGAGACTCTTTAAGGAGTGACACTAAATAGATACATTGCCCAAGCTCCAGCACACCATAGACATTTGGGGACGTCTCAAAAATAAATACCTAAAGTCAAAAACTGTCCAAGGATACTTAGACAATAAGCAGTTAGAAGCTTCTAAGTATATGTCTCAGCTCATGAAAGAACAGCAGATGAGACTTGAAAGAAGCTTAAAAGTTCTTAAGTCCAGACTCTTCATATTACCAACAGGAGTAAATACACTGTCTGGACTGTTGCCTTACTCTACCTCAAAACAAAGAAGCAACGGTGACAGCATGCACAAGACCCACCACATCACCCTCCTTTAGTACAGATATTAGGTCAGAGAGGGTGTCTCTTCAGGAAGCATCTGACCA